CTCTCTCTCTCTCTCTCTCTCACTCTCAATCTCACTCTCTCTCTTACTCAATCTCTCTCTCTCACTCTCTCTCTCTCTCACTCACTCTCTCACTCACTCTCTCACTCACTCTCTCACTCTCTCTCTCACTCTCTCTCTCTCTCTCTCTCTCTCTCTCTCTCTCAATCTCTCTTTTTCTCTCTCTCTCTCTCTCTCTCTCTCTCTCATAAAAAAGCAATGAAAGCAAAACCAACATTAAAAAAAGAAAAGAAAAAAAAATCATCTTGGCCTGTCTGCCTCCTTACACGGTACCAATGTATTACTTGCAGCTTCACAACCATGTATAAACAGTATATAACTGCATTTCCAGTTGGACAGCATTTGAGATTTTCTGTTATTGCAATGACATGCACAGATCCCTATTGTTAATATAATGGAGGAATGCCAATTTCTGACTCGCAGCCACGTCTGACTTATTTTCTGGTTAATTTCTCTTACATCTTTGCTACTGCATCTTCTTTTTGTAAGTCCCGAGAAGACATCTGCCAGTGTTTATATAAAGCAATGTTGCTATTGAAAACGATTCATCGTGAGGAATTAAGGTCAAAGTGAAAGAATTTCTGAAGTGGACGAAAAGGAATTATAATGAGAAGAGACCTAAAAGGAGTATTTAGTTTTTATCAGAGGCAGGATTCGAAGAACATATTTTAAGCCTCAATAAATCACTTATAATTGTTTTTGATAAATTAGCATATTTGTAAAATTAAGGTCCAACCTCTCCAACATCTACAATCTGCCTTGACTTTAAAATTGTTCTTCTTATTGCTAAGGAGCTGTTTTGCCATACACCATTCAGGGCTGATTGGGGAAATTCAGTATTATTATAATTATGCCTTCTAAGACCAGATTCTACCTTAATGGGCTACACTGCCAAGATGCACAATTTACCATTATCTATGTACTGTGACTGGCAACCTCTATTTTCTAAAACTAAATACATCAAATTCACATGCCTGCTGGTCTTGTGCCATTGTCTCATTGCAGTTATCTTTATAATCGCTGTTTAAGGACAGATCATAGTTTAGAAGCTGTGGCAAACAATGCAGTAATAGAGTATCAGGTGCATGATTTATTTTAAATCCCAAATCATTTAGCTAGTATGGGGAAGGGTTAGAACTTTAGTCAGGACTTATATACCACCCTCTCACAATTCATTTTGTCTGACACCCATTATCTAGACAGGAAGTGTGGCTGAATCTCCCCACAGAGGACACACGTTTTAATTATCACCTATGCTACTAAAAAAAAAAAAGTTGTATTGCTACCACTGTCACCACTGGAGTTATTTTTGATCTCTTCCTGTTTCTCATGACACCCAGGGCCGGCCTTAGGGGTGTGCGAGCAGTGCGGCCGCACAGGGCGCCATGGCAACAAGGGCGCCGTGCGGCCGACATTGCTCGTCCTGGGGGCGGCTTCTCTCCCCCTCACCGCTGGGTGCTGGCCATCCGATATGACATCGCTCCCTCGTCCGTTGATGACACCTATTAAAAAACAGGACCAAGAATATCCACAATGGGAGATGGGACAAGAATGTCTAGTGTTGGTGAAGCCCAAGAGATGAGCATGCCTGCTATTTGATTATTTATTAACTGGATAAGACCCGCCTTTGATTTATTTTGGTTGGGTTAATAATTTGAAAAGTGAGCCCTCACTTCAACTGTCGTAACCCCATGAGGTGTGGTACTTAATGTTTGTATTTGTGACAAAATTATGACTTGTAATCCCCTCTGTTTTGGGAAGGCTGTACTCTTCATTATTTTACTGGATGACATTGGGCTTCCCTCACTTTGCCCGGACTGCTATATATATGTTGCAATAGATGTCACCCTTATTTTATGGACTAGCAGTTTTCGATACAGAATAAGGAATGATTAATATGGCCATTTTCCATAAATGAGAAAAAAATTATTTGTTTTCCGGTTTGTGATAAAAGTAATTAAATGTAAATATCTTCTGTTTTAAAAAAGGCAATGATGTAAATTTGTCGTTCCCTAAATGATTAGAGTCTTAGGGTTCTTAAGAATCTGATTATTCTTCTGTCAGTATGACTTGATATAGGATAGGAGTCACAGATGCTAACACCACATGATCCACTCCTTAAGTTCTCTTTATTCAACTCTTAAATCCAGATTCCCAACAGTCTTCAACATTAGATCCAGTGCTATTGCCATTAGTGTGAGAGTAACTGCCAATTCGTAAGTTGTTGGGTGCTTCTGGTGATCCGCATTAGAACGGCAAGCGTAAGGGTGATGCCGAAATGGAAGTACCCACCAACATTATGCGTGAGCCCACCTAGGAGACTGAGCTAGGGAACAGTACCCAACATTAATTTAGGACCATACTGATTGTTAGCTAGGTTCATAATAAAACAAAATGAAGCCCAAGTATCATCACAAAGATTTGTCTCTTACTGGATCTCCAATGCCACCAACAGGCCCATCTCGTCCTTGATCTCCTGGCTGTCCGGGTTCACCCTTTAAAAGAAAGAATTGTGAGAGAAATCTAAATATTCTATATACGCTAATCAAGAACTGCAGTTTTAATACAAGAAATTATTCATTAATGTTAAGCAAATCTATAACCTCAGAAATATTATTCAAGTGAATCAAAAGCTCAAAATATACCATAGCAGTTTTTTGGTGTTGATATGAATGATGAGAGAATAAATAGCATAAAGTATTTATATATGTACATAACACTTTCCAAAAGTAAAGACCTCTGGATATATGCCAAGCAGATTTTAAACATCTGGCTAGAAGGTGCTCGAGCTGTATCTCCAACCACTGACCACCATTTTTCATGAGTGACATATGTGGGCTAATATTGCTGACCTCTCTTTCTGAGAAATCTGTTGCCTTCCTGTCATAACGATGCTTTCACTTCAATTCTTTAAAAAAGAACTAAAACCAATTCTTTTTGGGATGTGCTTCTTTTTTGAGTCACAGGAGTACATTTACTAATGTACTCTTGTGACACAAAGTCAGCTGATAGCAGGCTAATGCTATCAGCTGACAGGCCACAACTGCATCTTGGTCATGAAGGATTCCAACAATATTGTCGTGATCCACCCTGACTGCCTAATTGACCGCTGTCTCTGCCATTCTGTGCACAGCTGAGAGCCATAGCCAACTGCATTCACCCTCCCCCCACCTCCCCACCTCTCCAGATCCAGCCAGCACTGGAGGAGCAGAGAAGGGAGGAGGATTCCCCGCAGTGGACAGTGACTCAAAGTCACCGTCCTCTGCTGGGAGCAGAGACCAAGCGCTGACTGATCAGCAATCACGTGATCAGTCAGCTCTAAGTATCCTGGAGAGTATGGATTACCCATAGGGATGTTCAGATACAAGTGCAGCTACTAGTGCCAATACTTGGAATTTTCACGAGAACTACCAGTGGTTGCAGCTGTGACTGGGCCCTGGCACTCAACCTCTGTCCTAAAATCACTAGTCTGTACTGTTTTAGAAAAACTGTCACATGACACTAAACAAAAATGTAGCAGTAATTGTGTCCTAGGAGCCCTGTAGCCAATGGTCCTTAAAAATGACAGCTCCTAACTTTTGAGTTTTTCTCTAGTCTAGTCTTGGAGCACTCTCCTCATACTTCTCCTTTATATCACTGGCCTGCTGAAAGTAAAAGTTCATTAAACCATGTGTTAGAACTGGTTATAATAGGTGTGTATGCTTAGTACTATTAAAAAAGACATTAATTAAGTAATGTAATGAATACCTTGCCACCTCTAGGTCCTCGGACCCCAGACATTCCTGGTGGACCACGCTCTCCTGCACCTCCCTGTGGAAAGTTAAAGATTAGATTTAAACAACAAATGAGCGACATTGACACTTGTAGAGAGAAGATATAACTGCCATGTACTTAGGCTTTCTCACTTCTAATGAGTGTTGGAACATAATTCAGCATTTTTAACCAAACAGGTAACTCTGTCACCTTAATTTAACCATAATTGTGTCATGAAAAGAGGCGAAAAAATTACTAACTATATCAAATTAGAATAACCATCCTTATACAGGGGAGAAGACCTTCAACACCACCTGTCACCTGCAATTTGACAACAATGCACACCTTCAGCCTTGCAATTCATTCAATTACCACTTCCCAGACAATATAGCACCATGGTGGCTGAGTTATGTAAACTAGAACAGGGTAGCTTAACAAGCTTTCATACCTCTCATGATGTTTTTGGGCAATCAGCATCTAGCTTTACACATTTCATGACATTATGGTGATTTATTTAAGGTGAGCTATTTGTGTGGCTATAAATACTGGGGTATTTTCCTGACAATTACTAGAACTGTGAAAGGCACTCGGATGTGTGGTGTGTTAAGGGAAGCTATTGCCATTATCTCTTTAACTATTTTTCTAAACGTGAGTAAGTGCACAGTGGAGACTGCATATATGAATTTGACTGAAGCACTGCAAGAATAATATTGTTCACTGCAGAATAATCTGTGAGGAGCAATATCAAACTTTTATTTTTGTAGGAGACAGCAGCATTTAAAGCAGCAGCAGTGACCTACTTTATATATATAAAGAACAAGTGTACTTACAGTAAGTCAAGTAAAGTGAAAAAAAACCTGTTATTTCCTCCCCTTTGTTCCCTCTCCAGTTTTTGTTAATAGTTCCCACCAATTAAGAGTGCGGAGAGAGGGAACTATGTAGCAACGAGGAAAGGAGGGTACAATAAAACCTGGTAGATGTGAACATTCTCATCACAAGTAGCTCATCCAAGTCTGCACTAATAGATCTTTCCCTACACATGCAATGATGTTCACAAATGCCATTTTTTTCTTTTACTAGTTTAGTGATATACCAAAACACTTTCTTTTCATTGCAGCCTAATTTGTGTACAATAGCACATTAAGATACAACACAATTACGAAACAGCCAAAAATACATGTATTGAGGTTGGATATTTTTAAAGGAGAACTATGAGGTGAGTGCTTTTCACTCACCTTATAGTTCTAGCCGACCTGTGACAATGAAACTGTCACAGGTTGGCTCAGTAGATCGGGAGGTGAGCGAACACATACCGGCGTTCGCTCACCGCGTTCGCTCACCTCTCGATCCTGTCATAGCTCTCTGACGTGACAGGGGAGGGGCTGGATTCCCCCCTCCCCGCTCCGCCAGCGGGTACAGCTGGCTCTGCCTCTAGATAGGCAGAGCCAGCTGTCAGTCACGCAGCTGGGCGGATCCAGACATAATTGTCGGGATCCGCTTCAGCTGCGGCTTCTTAGTATACAGCGATAGTACCATAGTTCTCCTTTAAGGAATTTGTTTATGCACCAGTGATCTTAAGAATTCGGGTCTGAAGTTATGAAGACTAAGAAGCAATGTGGTAAAGATCCGGGGCAACACTGTGCACCAATAACCTCGCCTATATGCTCTGATATGAAGTCTGTGCCTCATAACAGAACTAATCCTAAATGAAATTTTAACAGAGCTTGCACTGTAGTGTGAGGGAATCCTACCAAGCATCACCTCCAATGTTGGAGGCATGGGACCGTTGGTAAATGATACTTGAACATGTTATCTCTTAATTTAATAGATTCAAGACACTGATCTTAAGGTAACCTGCCCTGTAGCCGACACGCTTGATGCCCCTTTTTGCTGCTGGAGGCCCAACAAAAATCATTTCACCTTTCCTGTTTAAACAAGTTAAATTAGTTGTGCTTGTAAAACTACTTTAGAAAACATTTATTAGTGACAGGGCAAAGGTGTGAGGAGGTAAGAGGGGTGTAGCGTGGAGGGGCTCTCTCTTTCTCCCTCTCCCCCTCCCTCCTCAGAGCCAGTATTATTTTTTATGAGAATGCAAGTTACTATTCCTTACATTGCTGAACATAGTAACTTGAATTGTCATATACAATAAACTTTTGCTCAGTCTTATACAATCACTAGAAATTCTTGTGATTGTATATGACTGAGCAATTACAGAGATCTTCTGTTCTGTTCTGTTCTGTTTTATAAATGTCTCTAAACTATTTTTTATTGAATGCACCTTACCTTTTCGCCTGCAGGTCCGTCTGATCCAGCAACACCCTAAAAGAACAAATACATGTTAATTGGTTGTAGAGGTACTGTTATTTCTGTACACAATCATATTTTGTTTCAGTCACTCACTTCATCACCAGATTCTCCTTTTTCTCCTGGTGGGCCATTTGTTCCAGGATCTCCCTGTAATTTAAAATATAAAAATGATTAATGGACTCAATTGCAACTAAAAGGTGATAATGAAGGAGGCACATTTACATATTCTCTGTGATGTTTTATCTATGACTTTTTCAGTCATTACATTATAGACATCTTCAAACTTAACATTGTTGTACAATTCTTTCAAATTTTGTTTGGATTTATAGGCAGGGGTTGGCTCCCGCTATGACGTAATGATATTTGAGTTTATATCAATATTAAGGATTTATCAGTGTAAGCTAAATATTTGTTGTCGTTCTCATGGCATTTCTGATAGTAGATATTTATTGACGTTTGCTGATCATTCATTTCTCACAAGAAACTATTAATTGTTTGATGGCAGTTTGGGAGGTTTGTGTTTCCCGTTGACAGTTAATGTTTTTTCCAATTTTGAGCTTTATTGATAGTATTCTGTTATTCGTAGTTATGACATATTAAGTCATGAGTCTATTAAAGGTAGTCATGCATTATACATCATTATTATTGTTAATCAAAGATTCATCATTGGTAATTAAGGGTTTGTTCTTAATAATACTTGATCATAGATTTGCCAATGGGGCTATGGATTTGCCAGTCATTAGTAATAATGTTAAATCACTAGGAATGCAATGATACATGCACAAACACCTACAAAGCATTTGATCTTTTCTTACCTTATCACCTATATTCCCATTACTACCAGGCTTTCCAGCACCACCGGAAACTCCAGGTTCTCCCTGCAAAGAATATATATTAGCCAACAACTGATCGGTGTTTTTACTGTGTGACCTATGGTTGCTTCCCTATGTATCCAAGCACCACCTAGTATATGTACTTTATACAACTACAGTCTTTCTTTTTTTATTTTAATAAATTCATATATTTCCATATTTTGATCTGGTGACACCATTTTGTCAGTCTACTAATGTAATGCTATTTTTAGCTTTTGTGTTTAATTCTTTATTCCTTTACACTTTTTATTCAGCAGGTAAAATCTATAGACTGATTCTGCATATCAGCTACTCAGTGTTTTTCTTGACTGATTTATAATGCTAGAAATATAAAATCTGAGATTGCTGGTCTTTATACGGGCTTCAGGGCTGTTAGCCTTAGGCTTGTGTCACTTCCTAGTGATTTACTAAATTGGAACAACCAGTGGGGCACCTGATATGCCCATACTTGTACCACCTCAATGACTCAAGAAGTAGAAAAGGAAGGACAAGGAATAGAGGCTCAAGTTTGCACCTTGAAGAGCAATTCTGCAATGGCGGCTCCCATTTCTGTATCTTGGCAGGCAATAAACCTTGTTTCCTTACCCTATTGTTTAAAATGTTTTACCATTGAATGCATTATGTTTTTGCTTCTCCTAGTCTATTAATTTTTTTTCCTCTAGCCCACTAATTGGCTAACACTTACTTTTCCTCCTTTTGGTCCATATGACCCAGAATCTCCTTTTGAACCAGCGGGTCCAGGCTCTCCCTGAAAAAAACAGATAACATTTATAATAGGAGCATTCATGCAGAACGGATCTGAAATATGAATATGGAATGAATATGGATTATCAAAATAGGATGGTTACACCTTCAAACTTACCTTCAAATTCTTTTTCACAAAAATATGTTGTTTGGGAAACTGACCTGTTACAACTACACTAAAAGTGATCTGGAAGCTGTGAAACTATTATTTGTGACAATGAAAGACAAACTGAAATGTGATATCTTTTTTTCTTTTCCACCTTCATAGTATGGATAGCTGAAGCAAGGTAAAATGTGTCTATAAAATTTAATGAGCAGCAAGTTGACAGAGATAGAAAGCAAATACTGTATTTGCCGGCATATAAAGCGACTGGGTGTATAAGACGACCCCCTAATTTTCCACTTAAAACATAGGTTTTGGGCTATACTCGTCATATCAGACTACCCCACTTCCGAGGCAACACCATTTAAAAACATCATGGATGGATGTGCAGTAATACTGTATGTACAGTAGCTTCAGCTACATACAATATCACGCGCTGAGCCGATCACGGCGAGCAATGTATTCTATTAATGAATACAAAGCTTGCTTGGATTGGCAGAGGTTGTGTACATCGCTCGTCGTGATTGGCTCAGCAAGGTATACTGTATGTAGCTGAAGCTACCGTACATACAGTATTACCGCACATCCAGCGGGCTGACAGATTAGGGATGTTCGTTTTGGGCCAGCTTGGCCCAAACGAACTAAAGGTATACATTGTATACCCCGCGTATAAGACGACCCCCGATTTTCGGGGGATGTTTTTAAGTATAAAAAGTAGTCTTATACGCCAGCAAACACAGTATATTGTTTTTGGCAACACACATTGTGGTGTGTTTTGATGCAGGCATGGCGATATTACCATGAAGTACTCCTTAGCCTGTGTCTAGAGTATTTGAGTAAGAGTGGGCAGCATTAAGAAGACCTAATGGGGAGGGGATGTAGGGACTGCTAAATAGAACTACAGTACTACAGATCAAGTAACATCCAGTCACCTCTGCTTCTTCTTCAGATTTTCACGATTTGCAAAATTGGTCTCTTTGGGTACCTACAATGTAATTTAATCGGTTGCCATAATCAGTGGCGTCCCTAACCTTTTTGCTCCCTGATGCCCCCCCATGTGTCCCAAAGAGATGCCGCCTGAGGCAACACCCTCAGGCTGCCTCGTTAAGGGACAGCCCTTGCCATAATCTACAGCTGGTGACTAATACAGCTGCAGAACTGATGGCCGTACACTTGTTTCAAATGCATAATTAATACATAATTACATGAACTTATTTTTACAATTACCTCAAAACCTGGTGATCCTTTGCACCCAGGGAAACCAGGTTCTCCATCATATCCCTATAAAAAACAACAACAAAAAACAAATGGAAAATAAGTCAAAGTACCAAAAGTAAGTTCTCGGTCTATGCTTTTATGCAATTGAATATTTAGAATATGGAATCTATTTACATCACAAATCTAGAAAGTGCTAACTTTACTTTCTTACTTAATATCTGTACAGAGAGCCGCCAAATGACAATTTTCTTGCTTTATGAGGCTGTTGCAAATTTTATTTTTGGGAGAAACGATTAAAACGTATTTCAGTTTCAAAATGCTAAAAAATTTAATTATTGCTCTCCTAAAACTAGCATCTAAGTAAAGACGTGAAATGGGAAAATGTCAGAGTTATCTATCCCAAGAGCTAGCAGATATAGCTGCAAGAAACGTTTGGAACATTTGGATGGATAAAAAGCATATGCAATGCCTGCATACCATGCAAAGGGAAACTGTGTCCATTTCATTTTTCCACATTGTGTTTTCTATACATATGGATAGTATATATTTGTCACTTTTCAGTCATGCAACCATACGTTTCATATTCCCATACTACATATTCCCAACGGTCTAGACAAATGATTGGTACTAACCTTCTGTCCATCAATGCCATCAATTCCTCTTTTGCCTTTATCACCCTTTAAGAAAAGAAGAAATCAGAGTCTGAATATCAAAAATGTACAGATAAAAATTTGCAGACTGAGACTGAGAAAAAGGACATAGAGGGACAACCATTTGCCTGTTTAGAAAGATAACAATTTATTTATATTAGAGAACTTTCAGAGTACCCACATTGTAGTAACAGGCATACTGATTTGAAGGAGAAGGTAGACTCTGTTTTTGGTTCTCTCTGTAATTTAAATTTTAGGGTGTTTTGGAAATAATTAAGGGCTATTCTATAACCCCATTTTCCCATACTATTTGCATGTTAGCAGACCAGCTCAACTGACATTCAGAACTTCAGAACATCACTGTGCAAACATACTTTTCTGAATTGGTCCTTAAATATCAGTTAAACTCCATGTCATATGAATTATAGTAAACCTGTGCTGACAATAAATCTTTCATTTCTACACAAGGAAAGGCACCAAAAGAAGTCAGGTCATACCATATATTTTACAGGCAGCCCTAAAGTGCCAATGCAAAAGATGACTTTCTGAATGTTTTACAAGGACAACGTCCACCTCCCACGTGACCTGTCAATAGGTTGTCAAGCACTGCGTTTGCCTTGTGGAATTCAGGCTTATCTATGCTTCAACTTTTAAGAAAAGTTAGTATTTACATAGGTGCTCTAGGGGGCTCACACATACGTATTTCAGTTATTTGCCTGGAGTTCAGCTTAAAGAATATTAGGAATCACCACAGGATTGTGTGAACATTACATATGCTATCAGCCTCCAGCTTCAAAATGGTAGCCCATGGAGCTCCTTGGTAGATTTTTATATTTCTAACAAGGTAAAGCAGCAGTTTAAGGTCTAAAAAAAATGCAATTGTGTCATGGGTCTGGTTAGATGGCCATTGTCATGTTTATTGTGACTGTTAATATTAGATAGCATTAATATTATAAGAGAAACAATACGTGTTAACTGCATAGAAATGAATACAGAAATAATACAGAATATAGAAATGAATCAATAGACAGAAATAGGATACTTAAGTTAAAACATATGCAGAAATTAGTATTACATTTAGGACAAAGGATCATTTGACATAATGGAATAGTCTGTTGAAGAACACGCTTACCTTTGATCCTTTTGCTCCTCTTCCACCCTATTATGACAAATCAAAAAGAAAAAGGTTTAAAAAAAACAACGTATTAATATATGACTTGTGCTAGATGATTCTATCACATGGTAAGTCTATGAGGGCCTTCTGTGAAAGCTTACATATACTGTGTAAATGTTAGAGATGCTACTTTTGGATGACTATCTACTTTCAATTTTCATATCGGGGTATCCACACTCACCTTCTCTCCTCTGACACCTTGGTCACCCTAAAGAAAAAGAAAATAAAGTGTAAAGTTGAGATCAATGTGAAAAATAGGGGTCAAACATTATAGGCAATTTGAATGGCACACTTACCTTCATTCCCTGATAACCTACAGGACCAATGTCTCCAGGACGACCCTACAAAATAACAATCATATATTAGAATAACAGTAATAATAATAATAACAATTATAATAATATGTTTGTATATTTTATGTTTCACATATTTACTTGTTCTGTTTGGGATCCAGTGACAGAAAAGATCCACAAAAAAAAAAAGGATGAACTCACTGAGTACCACTGCCCTGTTGGGTTACTGAGTTTGACCCCTACTATAGTACTGTTGTGCATGAAGTATTTATATTTTTTTCAAGTATGAGAATATGGAAAGAACCTAACTTTCCACTATCTTTCCTTTGTTTTAAAAGGTCTGATATGTCACTGTGTTTCCAGCCCAGCAGATCCTGGAGTATGCGTTTGGCTGTCTGATGGTATCATAGGTAATCATAATAAATGTTTCCACAGAGCAAATTTAACAAATTATATTTTTTAATGTAATGTAATAGGACAAAGGGTAACAAGTGTAATATGAGATATTGCACTTGACACCTTGCCATTTAAATAAGTAGTGGTGCTCTTTATGTTTTGCACTTTACAACAGTCTTAAGGTTGATTATACACCAGTGGCGTAACAATCACCATAGCGACCCAGGCAGCCACTATGGGGCCCGAATTACGAAAAACGAAATAAAGCAAAATCCGAATCAAAACGAAACACATTTTTTGCTGGTGCACATGTCTATTATATAGTTTGGAGAAATCTAAAGCAGATTGTATAGAAGTTAAACAATCCAATTGTATAGTGTATGGCTAGCTTTAGACTGATTAAGTGTATGGGCTGCTATAGAGAATGGGTGGAATCAGGAATGTAAATAGCTAAACTGTATACAACAATGCTGTACCCTAGTAGTGCAAACTTCATGCAACAATTTCCTTTTGAATATTGGCAAGTAAGATTTTAATATGTATATGCCTACCTAGTGTACTGAAGATGCAAAGAAATGTTCTACTTACAGGGTCACCATGGAATCCGCGGTCACCAGGAAGTCCTGTTTTTCCAGTCTCTCCCTACAAGGAAAATCGAACATTAGCAATGTTTGGCTGATTTTCCTTCTAAACTACTAACGTTATATGATAAAAATCCCTTACCTCATAGCCGGCAGGACCAGGTGGCCCATGCTCTCCACGATTAGGCTAAAAGAAAGCCAGCAACATATTATTGATTAAAAATTAAGTTGCTTGAAGATCATACATATCCTAAATGTGTATAATTTCCTTACCTGGCACTCATAAGAGCAGCACTGCAACATTCAAAGATGAGAGAAAGAAGGAAAGAATCAATAACAGTATTATCTATTGTTTCCTGTGCTTTATATGACTTGAAATTATCACCGTACTTACCCCATGTTCACCATTCTCTTTCTGAAAGAAAAAATAAAGCTTAATTAGTATGGACAATTTAGTATAACACAGTTCTACTTCAATGGCATTCAACATTAATATGTAATGCTGCTGTCATTTAAAAATAAGCCAAAATACTACATTTTATACCAAAACTACAAACTAGGCTGTACCCAGAACTGTTCTGTACATGCAACTGTGGGCTCCACTACAACTGTTACAGTCTTTTATTACTAGTTGCATGAATCACTTTGAATTCTGTACATATAATACTGTAAGCTCCCTTCATCCATTTTTGTGTAGCATTGTCATGACTACTAACATGACCATATGCTTCAGTGCTAAGCAGAAAGTCCTAAATTACAGTATATAGAGCTTTAGTTCACCATTCCCCATGCATTTTTTGCAGAGCTGAATCATTTCCGAAACAAAGCTACAGCCTTCATGTTCCCGCAGTAAACCAGGGGATAGCAACTTGGCCAAAGCTGTGCTATGGTTGCCACTCATCAATTAACTTGAAATTAAAATGTGTATTGACTTAATATGGGATGCAATTTGTCCTGTATTTTCCCACACGTGTTTGATTCATTTAGTGATAGTAAACCCCACATAAGCAAACAAGCGACATAGCAAACAAGCCGGCCAGGAGATACCGAGTGACTGGATTTTGATGATGTCAGGCAGCATTACAGGCCGGCTAGTTTAAACTCAATGGCCCAGTGGCTCAGTGGGGAGATGTCAGTTGCAGCATAAGTCTGATATGAATAGGAATGTTGTGCATGGGTCATCATGTTCTTGCCAATGGGTAATTAAAGTGTTGTTGATTATGACTGCTGAAGGATCTACATCACTGGACAAGGTGATTGACAATGGATGTACACCATATGACGTTTTTTTTAAATAAAGGACTTTGTTACAGTGTGGGTGTATTTACATTGTAATTTTTTTGTGAATGATTAACAAGGAGTCTTATTTTAAAGGGAGCTTGCCTAGGGCCCCATTCTGCCTTTACTTGCATCTGATTCCTGGCTAAGCATTTCCCCCTGTGAATGCCTGTTATCTGAATAACTGAAACACACCATGTGCTTAACTAGTTACTTACAATAGTGTCAATAATACTATCAATTGTGTTATCGATTTGATCAGCAGACAGACCAGCAGCACTGGTGGCTGTAAAGTTCTTGCGGTAGTTTGCATCAGAGGCAATCACACTGAGACGTGGTTCCTGAAGAATAAAGCAAAGATTGTTACCCTTAATTATATGATGACTCTGATATTATGCAATCTGTATAAATAACAATTAGATACTACCAGGTGGTTTGGTGAGATGGCAACAGAGAAGACTTTAATGCCCAGGTGTCTTGCTTCATTTGCTGCATCTTCTAGACCACCACATGGCTCTTTATAGCCTTCCAAAGGATGGCCATCGGTCACCACAATCAGATACTTGTTTTCTCTCTGGTGGGATCCTCTGTAAAAGGAAACACATATATTTTACATGACTGTATAGAAAAGCCAAATGTATCTGTGTTGATCATATTGGGTTTAGAAAAGACAAGACTGATACACAAAGGACACTGAGTCTAATATATCTGAATACCAACCCAATTAAGACCTCTTCAATGCCTCTTTTGATAGCACAGTCAGTATGGGTTCCTTTGCCAATGTACTCAACGCTATCCACACTCTTCTTTAGTTCATCACGGTCCGTGGCCAGACTAGTTAGACCCTTAATTAGAATGATGTCATCACTGTAGTGGAGTGCTCCAGCATTCCATACAAGGTTGCGGTCGCAGCGATAATACCTACAATAAGAGAAATGTTATGAGCCCTTATTAACTGCAAACCACTGCAAAAATACTACCTAGCACTGGAGTAGTTTGTATATATAGACTTATACATCTTACATCCACCCAGCTGTTTTTCGCGGGGCAAACGGGGCACCTACACACAAACAGCTCCCGTCTTACTACACCTTACTAAACCCAAAACCTAAATGGTAGATATGGAAAGTGAAACTGGCCATATTTCTGCCAGGTAACTGTAAGATGTAATAGCAGCATGGCAGAGACTTACCATTTTGCAAATTGGGCTACTTTTAACCACCTCTAGGCAACCTCTGAGTCCAGTTCTTTATCTGTTTCCTTAATGCACTTCTTGCATGAGCATTCATCAACCCCAAAAATAACATGGCAGACCACTATTGGCTTCTATATCCATATAGGTTGACGTGCTGCCAACTGATATTGTACCATTTACATCTTATGGACAGAAATCACACAATTTGCAAGATCCTTCAAGGTATGAAGTAAACTGCATATGCCACTGCCTTCTCCCGTTGATGAGTGACAAAAGCCAGAACTTAGGCAAAATGATACATGCTCCCTGCTAGGCTTATTTCATTAACTCGCGGTGCAGATATTTCTAAAGAATAACTATCCAGGCTTAATAAAGGTCTCGTATCATAATAATGGACTTGAGAACTCAAGATATTTTTGGGTATAACTTTATGCAGATGTTTATGTAGATTACTGTGTAGCCACAATAGAGTTGCTACAGGACTGAATTGTTCTCCTCATGCAGATTGAAGTATTTCTATCCAGCCTGTGTGACAGAGGGACTTGTGGGTCTAGTAGTACAAAGGCAGAGAGACAGTACTAACTCAACCTAATTAAACTACAGCTCCCGGGAGATGTTGTTATCTGGAGGAGGAGTGGAGCTCAGGAAACAGATGGCTGGAGAGGGGGGCTGCTCCCTTCTGCCAACCAATGCGGGAACCACCATTCAAGCTGCAGAAATGGTGAGAGGCCAGTGGCCACTGAGTTACAGTGTTTAAGGTAATTCTGCAAACCGCACATTGGGCCCCACTATTGGTTAGCCTAAGCAAGCACCACTGGCCAGTAGGTTAAAGACCTGGATCTATTTGGACTGATACTTACGGGGTTATTCACAAAGCTGCCAAAGGCAGCCGAGTGAATAACCAAGCCATAGTGAAGTGAGCCGAACAATGTTCGGCTATTCACTATGGATCAGTACGGCTGATTTCAGCTGCACATCGGCTGAAATCAGCCGTACATCGGGCTCTGCATGTTTGGCTGAAGTGCAAAAGGAGTTCGACTCAGTCGATCCAACATCGCATACGGACCGAACGCCAGTGAGTGAGCTACCTCAGTGGTACTATGCAGAATAGCAATTCAGATAAAAGGAGTACAAAAATAATAATAAAGTTGAAAAACATTTTTTTTAAATGCTCCGCCCAACTGTTTCCTATTGGCTGCCACCTGCTAGAGTCTTCTAGCAGGTCCCGGCCAATGAATAACAACTAGATTTTTTAATAACAAAAGAAGAGCTAGTAATCTGCCCTTAGTAAACATGGCCGCTGCCAGTAGACTGGGAAAGAAAAGAGAAATAAGTTATACAAAGAAGCCTGCAATTATCTAGAAGTATGTTTTTGTATATTGTTATTACTAAACATTTCTAAAGGTGTGTTTGTTGTTATTTTAGAGATATGGGTAAAGATCATGCCGATAAGATTATATGCATCAAACTGATCTATTTGTTACAGGTACTGTGCATTCCCTTTATGGCAAAGAGATGAGGAGGAAGGCCAGGGTCAGTCTCTAACACCTTGCAGTACTCATGTTGAGAACCTGTTTGGTAGTGGGATGCAAGAGGTGGGAAGTAAGGAAGGGCAAGGATGGGTTTTTTGAAGACAAAGCTGAGCATCTTCCAAGCAAATAGTTCAGCAGCAGTAACCATGAGGATGATGATGATCATAATGATGATGAGAAAGCTTGGCCTCATTTTGGCTCTATAAAGCCATCCTTGATTTTAAAAGGCTGTATTGAAGTGAACCTGTCATAATCAAACACCCAGTCAGTGGTAAAGGCAGTTAGGTCCTGGCTTATCCACAGCATATATTTTCCTGAGGCAGTATAGCTGAAACTAATCTTCGAATCAATACCCCAGAAATATTATATTGTGTGTCTTCTGCTTCATGACAAATGCTATTAAATTTTCTTGTGTATACAACAATTGTCTACAACATTTTGTGCTACTGAATATGAAGTCTGAATCGCAGAGATGTATACCAAATTAGATGTGATTAGATTGCTTGAAGTCTTTACCTTGTTGTGAGTCTATCTATGAATCTTTTGGTGAAGTCCTTGACTTGGGTCACCAGAGTCTTGAATGGTTTCACACGAAGAGCAACACTTTCAGATGTATCCAAAACAAAGAAGATATCCACTGGACAGTCTGAGAAAAAAAGGGCACACGATTTTATATAATTATGGAAACATACACAACCAATTATAAACCTGCAAATGACAAGAAGAAATGGCTGTATGACAAGAAGATAGCTATGGCTGAATGTACCATTGGACACTCATGGGCCAGTGCCTGGGGCAGCATCAAGTGTCACACTTTATTAACTGTAAATAATTTTTCCTTATTTTGTTTTATTGACCTGGCTACTTCTGGACATACATGGCTTGATTTAGTAAAATCACTAGTGGGGAAGTGTTTGCATATATTATATTATTAAGTATATTAAGTATATAATATTAGTATATTAAGAAGATTCACTGCAGTTTAAAAAAAAAAGAACAAATGATGCCTCATTTTTTGATTGTTGATCCGTGCACCTTAAAAGTAGTTGTGAATATAAGTCAGTAAGCAAACTTTATATATTGGCACCTTCTAGCATTAATTTTTTACAACTGAATGACACATGGGGAGGAGTTTGTGCTAAAGAATATAATCATACAGATGTGCACAGTTTATAGAGACAAAGTTTTAAAAATATGGGTATTGGGATAACTCTCAGTGGGATCTATGCTAGCCAAAAGAAAGACAATTAAGAAGAAATAAGCAAAAAAAACATGTGCTTTGGTATTGCTATTGCCATCTATCCTAGTTTTTGGCCCATGAGTACCTTATGGTAATTACACACATGAGTATCTTCCCTGTGTGCCTTTATATGATCTTTTTGTAGATTTTTCTTTTCCATAGATGGTCTGACCTAATAGCACAGGAAAATAGTTCACAAATTAAGCAAAGCATTCAGTTAAAGGATAAGATATTCCAACAGTAATAAATAATAATAATAATAATAATGTATGAAATAAAATAAAGGAGCATAACTCAGAAAACAAAATCTGTGTTTTGTGTTAATGTTATGCACCAAACAAAAAAGGTTACAGAAATTAGATCAGGGGCTGACCTACAGCTGGTGCAGCCGGTGCGGCTGCAGCGGGGCCCAAGCCAGGGGGGCCCAGTATCCAATCTAACACAGCCCCGAGGCAGAGATGGGGGGATTGGTATCCGTCAGCCGGCAGGCCCCCCCATCCCTGTGCCGGAAGTGTCCGATGATCAGATTAGTATCCGAGAGCCAGCAGGCCCCCCCATCTCTGCGCTGGGAGTATCGGATGAACCGTCACTCCCGGCGCAGAGATGATGGGGCCCGCTGGCCGCCGGATACTGAGGAGGGAGCCGAGAATGAAAAAGCCTGCAGGCACTTCATGGGGCAGCCCTGTGCCTCGGCCATGAGAACCCAGCAAGCAGCCGCCTGAGCACACAGGCACGCTGTCTGAGTCTCTGACACACACTGGGGTATTTTTCTGCAGCCTCTCCCACCAGAAAACAGTTGAAGACCAGCCAGAAGAGGTGAAGGTAAGTAATTAAATAAAATGATTATTATTTGTAGCCCAAATGATGGACACGTTGTATAAAGTACTGCTGGTATTAGTAGTGCTCTATAGCAGGTGTCATTCTGCATTGCAGCAATCAAGAATGGCACCCTCTATAGAGAACTACAAATCTCAGCAGTACTTTATGCAACAATGCAATTTTTTTTCTATTTTTCCAACTTTATTTTTTTTGTGGTTGCTTCAGGGGGTGTGGATTGGGGGGTTTGTGGGTTTTTTTGGGGGGGCGTGCGGGGCGGCCGTCTTGCACCAGGGCCTTTTGTTCCTTTTTGTTTTGTTCAGGTCCGCCACTGAATTAGATTTATGTTATACTGGTCAAGAGTGCTTTGGAAGCCAACTGAGCTGTTGTGGACAGCACCCCCCCGAGAAGTACTAGATACAGCTATTCTAAAATGACAAACTGAAAGAGATGCCCAGGCTGACCTAGAAAGTGTTAAGGTGCCCATACACCTTGCGATTATCGTACTTAACCGTACGATAATCGCAAGGTGTATGGAAGGCATGCGACCTCTGCTATTGTAAGGTTGCATGACTTTTGTCTTAAGAGCATGTTTGAAAACCCGCCGAGAATCGTACGATTGTCGGCGGGTCTGTGGCATGCTCGTAAGACAAATGCCGAACAGGCCGGTATGTGCAAGCGCACACTGCCCGTTCAGCATTGCAGTCATTGGAAGCCCGTCCGCAAGTACGATCTGCCTGTCCAAGATGGGCAGATCGTACGTTTTTTAAATTACCTTACAACCATCGCGAGACGAAAATCTTGCGATGGTTGTAAGGTCTATGGCCAGCTTTAGTCTGCATACTTTCCATGATTAAAATTATAGCAAGGTAGTCCAGCCATAAATATAACATTCTCATGTGCAAGAGTACCCAAGAGAATGATTACTTTAGTGTGCCCCTAACATCTATGCAAAAGCTGTACTCAAATTTATGTTTCAAACTAATTTATTGTATGCTAAGTAGGGTGTCTCATGGTTTACTAGAGCACCAGAGAGAAATTATATACTCAACTACAGTCATTTAATCTAACCTCCATTAATTCCAGGTGTTTTTGTTGGTTTGATCCTGGTTGTCCCAAAGCAAATGTTCTCTTTACTCCTTTATTGAAACGGCCCTTTAGCCCAAACCATTGGGACTTTTTGGGTGAAGCCAAGTCAATTAGCATGAAAACACAAGAAAGTCCTCAGACCTCATATGGATAATATCCGGGTGTAAAACACAGGAGGATATCTATGCTCATGGTGAATTTCAGCACATTAGAGCAGCCCTCTTTGCTTAAAATTAGCATATGGGTGGGTAATTTAATTAAAAAAAAGCCTAGTTGTAACTAAAATGTTCTTTTGTTTTCAACAGAGTGCAGATGGGACACAGTTTGCAACAAAAAAAAAAAAAAATCAGTACAACAGGGAAGGGTTAGGCCCCTATCAGATGGTCGGTCTGATTGGGTCCGCCTGTCAGTTTTTTAGGCGGACCCAATCGGATGCCCAATGTAAGTCTGTTTACAACCGGTTACTCTTGACTCGGACTAGGTCTGGAAAAACAAACAGAACTGAGTTCCGGGCCCGATTCCCATAGACTGACATGGGGTCCAGCAGTTTTAGTTCTTTCCTCCATTGCAAGATGGAGTAAAAAAACTGGACGGACACAGATGTCACAGCAGTGATATCCAATCCGTACTGCTCCAATCAGGAGGGGATCCCTTCCTGATCAGTCCGTGTGAAAGGGGCCTTTGAATCCTCTGTCAGGTTATTATTACTTAATCAAAACATTTATTCTTTCTTAAACAGCACTCATCCATTTATCTTTTTCAGACTCCATTAATCTTAATACATACAGTATTCCTTCAGGAATGTATTGTTTTACCATTACACTGAAATAAAGATTACAACAACAATTGTTTCTGCTGTAACGGGGAACCTCTATCAGGTCTGTCTGTATCTAACTAACCAGGAGGTTAAAACGGGTGATTAAAGAAGATCAAATAAATGTATATAGGGTGCACAAAGAAAGTGCCATTTAAACAGGGGACTTGAAGTTTGAGAGCTGTGTATATAGTCCAGAAAGAGTAACAGACCAGTGATCAGAGAGTCCAAAAACTTTAATCATTATTGTTTGTTCAGAAGGAAATTACAAAACAGCAAACGCATTTCGGCCAAACAGCTAACGCATTATCCTCCTTCTTCAGAGCTTAGACATTGCACAGACTTGGGAGGACTCAGAATGATAGAAGCATAACAATTAATTGTTTGAAAGATGGAAAAAGTGACAAAGTGTCCAATAAGCTATTTAAATCAGTTTTGTTTGGTCTGGAAGCATGTTGCTGCTATTCTGTCACATTTTGTATCCTTCAAAGAATTAAATGTGGGGATGTTGCCATTTTGAGTCCTCCCAACTTTATGCAATATCTGAACCCTGAAGAAAGGGCATACATTTAATCCTTTGAAATGCGTTGGTTGGTTTTTATTGTCTTGCTGAATGAACAATTAATTGGTCTGGCGCCTATTTGGACTTAGCCCTCAGGACTTTGAATACTAAGCAATAAAAACTTGACAGGAATATTTCAGAGTTGGCCTTTAATGTATTTACATTTTTATTAAAATACATGCTGAGTGGCTTCCAATGACGCTACACAGCGGGAAATAGTGGCGGCGGCACAGTGAGATGAGACATGCTGCAGCCTAAGTACGCTCCCTGCACCGAATCAGTCATTGCTACGAAGCCAGAGACAGCAGTGGGGACAGAGGACGGAGGTGGGGACAGCGTTGAAGGATGGAGCTGTGGGAATGGAGCTGCTGCGCATGTGCGAGTATTCATGAACGCGCAGCAGCTCCTTGTAGCTCTGTCCCTGCCTTCGCCCTCGCCTCCGTCCTTGCTTCTGTTCTCAGTACCCGCCTCTCCACACTTCTACAAGCAGTTGTCAGTCAATGGAAGGGGAGGATCCCGGCAATATTTTTGGGATCGCTTCACAGCAAGAGGGTTAGCCCCACGCACACCACGTTATAGCGAATCCTGAGCTTATGGTAGATTTTTATGGTAGATTTTTGATTACAGTAGTACATTGCAAAATGTACTCCTGTACCATTAGGAATCTAAAAATGCTATTAACAGTGTACCCCATAGTTCTCCTTTAAAATCTATCCCTGCTGCCTACTTGAGTCTTATATCTTTTATTTTACTGCGAAATACCAGATGATATTTAAACATAATACTGCAATTGTAGCACAAATATATTACATGTTTTTAAATAAGTGGCTAAAACCAACAACTTCTACACTTTCTCCATTTTCTTTGTGGCTTTGCAGTAAATTTGGCCCATTTCTTTGCCAGTGCAGGCAGAAGTATTGTTACTTAGGGTGAAACTTTAAAAATAATGATTTACATCTGCATTGGTGTAAGGTAACAAGCTGACATTCCAGAGTAAAAAGTGGCGAGTGACTTCAGCTATAGCAGCTGCCCTTCCCCTAAGGCCAGTGGGCCTACTGGTACGTGGATGCCTCCAGGTCCTAAACTTTATACTCTGAATATTTAATGTCCCAAGCAGGCCCAAAA